TGTTGTCTAATCATCTCAGTCGAGAGGAATTGTCTCGACACCGTGTCCACTGCATAGTTTCCCCCGTCAATAATCAATACAGCCGCGCCCGCCACGAAGCAGTCACGTACAACTTGGCCGACCTTCGCCTCAAACTCAAGGACCTCAGTCAATCTTTGTCACAGTTCTCGAAATATAAAATTCTTCGCCAAAAACTTCACGTCTCCGTACAAAAACAGGACTGCACGAATGCTGAATTTAAATTCCGGAAGCTGCACACTGACTAGAAAAAAATCATTCAAAAATTTCAGCTTTCTTTCTTCTACACTTCCCGAACTAGAAAATTCCTCGTGCAAAACTTACGACGCCATGCGCGACACGAAGGCACACGTGGAAGCAAAATTTGATCAGACGTGAACATGAAAGATCCGCACAAACTTTCAATTTTCTATTTTGTCTGGTCTCTGAGTCGGAAAATTTCCCCCCAATAACTTTCACATGTCTCTGTGGAATTCATGCGCATGTGAAAACTGAATATGACATCACATGTAAGCAGGAAATATCCTCCTAAAATTCAGGTTTTTAGCCATCCTGGCTGCTCAGTGAAAATCCCCGACAGAAACTGGAACGCGCGCACACGCACGCACACACACACACACACACGCACACACACACGCACACACACACACGCACACACACACACGTACACACACATATACATATATGCATGCACACATACACACAGAAACAGAATCTTGATAATAAGCGCTTTCAAAAAACAGGTGCCCAGAAATATGACATTTTTTTAAGGCCAGGCCTTAAGAAACAGATATGAAATACATGACAGTGGGAAGGGCGAATGATCAAGGATAGCGACAGGCCAAAATCTCTAAAAAAGAATTTGAAGACCTACAAGGTGTGCAGATTTTCGGCTTTCGATAACATGAAACACAGGTTATCATTTGTATCGAGCGCAACACAAACTTCATGCCATTTGCCTTCAGCATCTTTCCTAAACTGATTTATCGGCAGAGCGTCCAGAAATTCGTTGCATATGAATACTGAGAACTGCAATGAATATTTTTCGATAAACAGTCCAATGTTTATGAGCTAACAAAAGACGACAAAAAACAAACACATGTCTAATCTGGATTGGAGAAAAGTCATTTATTTTAAAGCAGTCAAAGCGAATGAGATCACATCCCACTACTGCATGATCATATTATCGTTCCTACAAAAGTCTCGAAAAAAACGTTAGCGGTTAACTAGGCCTGAAGGCACAAAATTGACCGGGTTTACTTTTAAGCCAGTGAGCCGAGATTTAGTCTGCCTGATAAAAATAACCATATATAATACATAAATTCATTAAAC